TTCAAGTGCGCAGAGCATCAAATGTGAAAGTAGAAAAAATTAAAGGATAAGAAGAACAACCTGGGGCCAAGAGGGTCAAATGCACAGTGAATGGCACATAAGGCAGGTATTGCAGAGAAAGAATCTGGGTTAATGCACGAATGGCAACTGTACTTTTGAGATTGTTATTTATGAAGCCAGTATATAATGTAGGGGTAAGTATGGTAACTTAAACTTTCAGGGATGAGAAAATGAAGATGTGTCCTTACCACTAGATTATGAGCTCCCTGAAGACTGAGTATATGTCTTATTTACCTTTTATGTACCACAACTCTTATTCTGTGGTCTGGAACATAGAATCTCCACCATAAACTTTGAAATAAACAAAGTGTGAGTATATACGGAAAGGATGGGTGTGATTGTAAATATTAGCCAGGGATATGGGTATTTTATAGATGCATTGAAGTCCTGTAGTGTTGAGAGACGTGCCAGGCTCTAATATTTTTCATGCCAAGGGCTCTAATACTGAGTATTAATCACAGAACATAAAGAGAAGAAAACCTCAGTTATAACTCATTAGGTGGTTTGATGTTTTTATATTTCTTATATAAGTGAGATATTCAATATTTGTCTTTCTCTGTCTGAATTATTTTCCTTAGTGGAATGTCCTTAAGGTCCATGTCATTACAAATGGCAGGATTTCCTTCCTTTTATGGGTAAATTATATATATATATATATGTAACTTTTAGTTATAGGATGAATAATTTTTGGGGATATAATGTACAGCAGTATATTACAAGTATACTCTACTTAATTGTATACTTGAAGTTTGCAATGAGAGTAGAGTTTTAGTGTTCTCACCATAACAATAATGAAATGGTAATTATGTGAAGCATCTAAACTTTTGTGGTACCATTTCACATGATATACTTTTATGAAATTGTCACATTGTATAATTTAAATTTACCTAATATCATATGCCAATTATATCTCAATAAAGCTGGGAAAAAACCATTTGCAGGTTGAAGTGTGAGCACATTTGGCCCCTGCTAACTTCATGGAAACAGGCCCAAAACTAAAAAGTAAACAATTTCTTGAGGGGAAATAGCACCCAGGTGAAGAAAGAAGGACAGCTAATGCCTCTATAAGGAGATGCCACATGAGCCAAGGTGGTAAGGCCAACTAGGGGTTACTCATGCTCATGGAGATTGCAGCATGAGCAAAGTTACAGAGATAATACACATGCTGTATGCCAAGAGCTACGGGGTATACAATACAAAGTAGGCTGTGGCAAGAGATAAGCTTGTGGTGATAGCAGTGGCAGGTCATGAAGTACTTATACACCCTGTTACATAACTTGAACATTATCATGTAGGCAATGGGGTACTATGAAAGGGTTTTAAGTAGGAGATTAAAATGGTCAGATTTTATCTTTAGTGGAGAGACTATATAGGTAGTGATACCAATTAAGAGTCCAGGAGTGAGATGCTAATCTTTTGTTCAAGTGCGCAGAGCATCAAATGTGAAAGTAGAAAAAATTAAAGGATAAGAAGAACAACCTGGGGCCAAGAGGGTCAAATGCACAGTGAATGGCACATAAGGCAGGTATTGCAGAGAAAGAATCTGGGTTAATGCACGAATGGCAATTGTACTTTTGAGATTGTTATTTATGAAGCCAGTATATAATGTAGGGGTAAGTATGGTAACTTAAACTTTCAGGGATGAGAAAATGAAGATGTGTCCTTACTACTAGATTATGAGCTCCCTGAAGACTGAGTATATGTCTTACTTACCTTTTATGTATCACAACTCCTAGCCTGCGGTCTGGAACATAGTTGATCCACCATAAACTTTGAAATAAATAAAGTGTGAGTATATACGGAAAGGATGGGTGTGATTGTAAATATTAGCCAGGGATATGGGTATTTTATAGATGCATTGAAGTCCTGTAGTGTTGAGAGACATGCCAAGGGCTCTAATACTGAGTATTAATCACAGAACATAAAGAGAAGAAAACCTCAGTTATAACTCAT